AGATCTTTTTAATAATTACATTGTTGAGTGTCTGGATTTTGATGTGTTCCTTCAAGGAGTAGTCCAGTTTACATGCAGTGAAATTATTGTTGGATAATTATTTTTCAAAGTGTACTTTTGTATTTTGTTCAGATTGGATTGGGATAGCCTTTACTCTAAGGCTACTTAACCCTGCTACTAGGTTAAGAGCACTTTAGGGTCTCTACTGTATACACAGGGCATTAAAGAAGGTCTCACAACTCTACCTATGTACCTGTTGCCCAATGTCTGAATATGTTTTTCATGTTTTTTGTCTGGTTTTCAGTTGGGTATAAGACATATGACTTGGAAAGCAACTAGTTCTTTTTCATGAAGAGAAGTGGAAGTCTTAAAGTCTTTTAACCCTGAGTCACTTTAAGGGTCAAACTTTATGGTAGGTTTCACATCTGAAATGTGGAAAAACTTGTCACAAATAATAGAAGATTACTGCCAACAGGAAAATGGTTCTGGAACCAGAAGGCAAAGGGACAGATCTCTTTAACTTTGACAGGTGGTGAAGAATATGAAGTGACTCAGCCAATTTCAAGAGCAACACACTGCTCAAACCCAAAGGTTAGAGATGTCACTGTTAAGAAATTTCACATTGAAAACTCTAATGCCCAAAGTAATGAAATAAAAAAAAAGCACTCAGGTAGAAATTGAACTTGACAAAAGTGTCAGTCACATTGATATTTCCTTCTATAAGCCTCTGCCAAAAATAGAACACTCTTTTTATTCTACCTCCATGAGTTAAAAAATAAATAAAATCTGAACAATCTCATTCACAACACCTAAAATCCTTAAGTTCTTAGTAGTCATGAAGTACGTCTGATGTATATGTGTTTTGTTACTGCCATTTTTTTAGCTATGATGATTTAAACTGAGCTGCCTTTTGAGAGACAAAAAAAAACCAAGTAAATTTCTACAGAACATTATCATAGGGCCTGGAGAGATGGCTCATTGGTTAAGAGCACTGGCTGCTCTTGCAGAGGACCTGGGTTCGATTCCCAGCATCCACATGGTGGCTAACAACCATTTATAACTCCAGTTCCAGGGAACTTTGATGCCCTCTTCTGATCTCCACAGGCATTGCATGACACATGCACTTACATACATGCAGGCAATACATTAATACACATAAAAATAAAAAAATTTTTTAAAAAAGAATATTAGGATAGCAATAAGAAAGCTAATGCAGGCAAATGACAGAAAAGGAAAATGCATGAATGACAATGGCCAAGAAGTCAAGGTAGTATGACAGTAAAGGGCAAATTCTTCAGTACCTATAAACCAGCCTTCTTGCTTTACCCTCTTCTTTAGTAATCCTATGTAACTTCCCACTTCAAAGCCTAAATTCTTCTTTGTAAACAAATCAAACAGAGGTTAAACAAAGGTGTCAGCCCCCCTGACAAGAAAAAAAAAATCACAGCAGTTCTACCACCAACCTCTATATAACAACTTCCTATGTATATTTAAATGCTTGTGTTTAAAACGTCTCCAGCTGAATGGCTAGGTCCATGGTAAAATTCAGATGAGCACAAGGTCTAGAAATGAGGGCAACCCACTCAGTTTAATTGCTTCAGTTTAAGAAGAAAGCGTAACTGGTCAGGCCTGGTGGCACAGGCCTAATCTCAGCTACTCAAAAGGCAAAGGTAGAAGGGTTGCAAGTTCAAGGCTTACCTGGGCTACAAAGTGGTTCAAGACCAGCTTGGCCAACTTACTTTCTCAAAATAGAAAGTAAAAAGAGAGCTGGGGGTACAATTCAGTAGTACAGTGCTTAAGTGGCATGCTAAATGCTCTATTTCCTGTACCTAGACAAGGTGGAATGAAGGAGTGAGGGAGAAGAGGTCATGAAAGAATCTTTTCTTCAATGGAATGAAACAGAGCAATGGCAACATTAAATAGTTACAAAATAACTCATTAGAAAGAAACCATTAGAATTCAGTTAAATTCAAATAATTTTTATAGGAATACATTTGTAATTTGGTATTGTGAGAGTAAAATTTCCAAATAATTGTTTTATTCAAAATAGTTCTTGTAGTAGACTACAAAATTATACAGTACATAAAGGTGTTCTAACCCAATGTTGATTCAATGAAAGGGTTGCTTCCACTTCATCGCAAATCTATCTGGGACGATTAGATTCAATTTGAGAAATCTAGGTTATAGAATTTTAAAAGAAACATAGTTTTATTATTTTGAAATACACTGTCACCTGCCCATCCCCACTTTCTCCACTAAAGTAGTACTTTAATACACAGGCAAATAATAAACTGGTAATGAGAGCATCAACACTTCACGTCTGTATGTGTATATGGTACTGGGTACTCAATCCAGGGGCTTGCATATGCTAGGCAAGCACTTTACCATTGCACCACATCCCCAGCAAAACATCAATTTTTGTATATTTCAACAGAAGCTCTTTCAAAGCTAGAAGGAGGGCAATGTTTAGTTTATTCAATCTACAAGAAATGATTATCATTTCTAAATATGACAAAGGGCCGGCCAGTGGTGGCACACTTTTAATCCATGTGTTCAGGTGGCAAAAGCAGGAGTATTAGTTCTAGCCTAGCCTAACTACATAAGGAGACACTACATACATAAGGAGAACTACATAAGGAGACACGATCTCAAATAAGTATAGAAGGAAAAGGAAAATGTGACTAACAAACCAATTGAGAAGGCTTCTATTCTTGAATAGGATATTTTAAAAACTAATTTCAAAGCATAAAAGGAAAATTATTTGAGATCAAGAAAACATTTTATTTTGAAAGTCTACTTATGTAAAAGAGTAAATATGATAGACAGGATAGCATATTACAAATGGCTAACATTTACTGACATGCTATGTCCCAAGACTTTGAAAAGCATTGCTTATATGCAATACTACTTTTAAATCATCATAAAAATCCTATGGGGGAGAAATAATTATCCCTCATTTTAAAGAGAGGGAAACAAAGTGTGTGAGAGAATTTGCCACTAGTCACACAGCCATTAAGAGGTGGAGTAAAGATCTGGCTCCAAACATTGTGGTTCTGGAGTCAACTCTGTCACATAGGATAGATGTATTTTTATGTAACTAGGCTGAAAGCGTAGGTCAGTGTGGTAGGGTGCCTGTCTAGCACATGTGAGGCCCTGAGTTCTATTGCTGGCGTTGAAAAAAAAAATCCCACTATATGATTTTGTAGAGCTTGTTTCTCAGTTGAATTGTATAAACATTTTCCTAGATGATTAATATTTTTCAAAATTATTTTAATGTCTCCATAATAGTTCATCACACAGGGGTTACAAAATTTAGCTAATCAATTCCCTCTTGTTAAGAAGTTGGGGGAAACCTTCTGAACACTAAAGTTTGTCAAGATTTCAGATTTATTTTCTAAGTATAGATTGCTTCATAAACAGAATTACTAAATCAAAGTTTGAAAATATTTTAAAACTCTATGTATTTTTATCAAAATGCTTCCCACATTGTCACTAAAAAGACTGACCTTCATGAGTTAAAACATCAATGATACTTATGGTCAGCATTTATGAATCATTTTAATCGATAACATCTGCTTTAAATGTTCTCATTGTCAAATCAGTAAAATACTACAACAGAAACAGACTGTCTTAATTTAAGACCAAATAGCAGTTACAGTTTAAAAATTAAACTCAAGTATATTTACTTCATGGTAAGAATGGCTTCTTTCCAACTTTTAAAACACTTATTTTATGGCCTAAATGCCACAAACTAAAAGCATTTGAGGAGCATTTTCTTAACCACAACATTTTCTTAAGCACAGCAAAGTTAACTAGATATTTTCACAGTATTTTCATAAATTTTCTTAAACACAGCAGAATTAACTAAATATTCTTAAATATGTATTTTCATTGTCTTGGTATAAGATACTATAAAGCAAGACTTCCATTTAAAAGAATCAAAAAGTAAAATAACTATGAAATTATTTGAGGATGTTAACTCCAAAAGTGTTTTTTTTCTTGACTTTCTTCTATAATCTATTTGGCTATGCCCTTAAAAATTAGATCAAGGCTGTCAAAGCTATACAAGAAAGTAAGGTCTTGGCCCAAATAATGGAAAAGAAGGTAAGCCCTGCAGAGAGCTGTCAGAGACAATCCTTTTTTGAGGCCATCTTCCGAAGACTAACTTTTAAAAAATGTCTCCAGAGGTAGCTGTTATAATTTTGTAATATATTGACATGGGCAAATTTTAAACTGCTTCATTTTTCTTCACAGTAACCCATCACTTTTTTTGTCTACCTGCTTGGCTGTAAGCCCCAAGAAGAGAGCTAGGCTAGCCCCTAGCATATAATAAGGACTAAATAAGTTTGTTAAAGGAGAAATGAAATAATTTAATCTAAAAGATCTAGAAATTATATAAATCATATACCAGGAACTCACAGTTCAAAACACTGTGGCTTAATAGGATAAAAGTGGTGGAACTGGGAAGGAAGGTACCAGAAGACATAGGCCTAAGGTGCAACTTTACCATCCAGTCAGAAGACTACACTCAAACAATTCATTTCATCCTCAAACATGGATATTCAAAATGGAGGCCACCTGCTTGAGGAACTGTTGTAGGAATGCTATAGTTTGGATGTAAAATGTCTCCCATAGGCTAACGTGTCTGCACAGTTGATCACTAGCTGGTGGTATTTATTTAGGAGGTTGTGGAAGCTCTGGGAGGTAAGTCGTAGCTGAAGGAAGTTGGTCACTGGGGGAAGACTTTGATGAGTACATTCAGGCCCCCTTCCTATTCTTTCTGCTTCCGGGTCCTCAGAGATGTAAGCAAGGAGCCTCATGCTCCTACCTCCACAGATGTGTTGGATCTGCTACCATGTCCAGGCATTACAGACTTACATCCCCTCAAACCATGAGCCAAAAGAAATTCTTCCTCCCTTAAGTTGCTGTTGGGTCACAGCAATGAGAAAAGCACTAATACATAACCCAAAGGCATTAGCAATTAAAAAATAATTTTGGCAGCAGTGATGACATTCCACTGTTTGCACACATTAGACTGCTGATGGGGGTGATGCAAATCAGAGTCTGAGCTGGAAAAAAAAATTTGGAAACTGCCATGTAGTAAATTCCTATTAATGAAGGTGGAACTATAAATGTTACTATCATTTTGGTCAATGAGACATCTGCTAGGTAGGTAGCCCTTCAATTTCTTTGCTTAGATGTCTGGTGGAATTGGGGATATTCTAAGTACTATGATTTATTATACTAAATGTCATTTGGTCAGTAGCTGTTGAAAGGATTCCATATCTAGGAAATATAAGACTCTGGACCTGATGGAGTGCAGGGCAAGAGACTGCACCCAGCTCAACCAAATGTTTCAGGGGGTTAAGAACATAAAGAAGGAAAATAAGAAGTAACATGCACTGGGAGCACTCTATGAGTTAAATACTATTGGGTATTATCACACGCCTTTAACATTTACATCAAGATCGTGTTACCTATGTTTAACTTACATTTTTATGTATAAAAATTTTAAATTAATTTAAAATTTCAAAAGACTGCTTTGCTTGCTTAAAACACTGATAGTATAGGACGTATATGATACTACCAACCAGGGCTATTTGGACTCAAAAGACACAGGAAAAATGCTTCTCATTTCCAGAGATGAACAAGCTTGTACATCATTTCCTCTACTGTGATCTCACCCAGACATTTGCTTTACATATGGGTGAAAATATATGAGTACACTCTATGCCATCAGGACCCAAATTATCAAGGAGAAAACTCTGAATCCGCAGTAAAACTTGTTTCTCAGTCTGGGTAAAGCAGTTAAGTCTGGCCCCTTGGTGCAGGTTGGTAGAAAATATCATAGCCTATTGAGTACATACTGCATGAGATTGGAAAACATTTCTCAGACACAACTTCAAGGATTCTCCATCTGAAAAATATCCACATTCAGGAATTAATAGATAACTGATTAAGGAAGACTGTTGTTTTTTATTTTAAAAATAATAATATGTCCAAGCTAAATGAAATGTTCTTCCTAGAAAAATCTGCCTTAGCTCATTTGAGTTGCTAAAATAAAATACCATAAACCAGGTACCTTATAAACAAGGAAAAAAATCTTTTTGTCTTTGAGACAGGGTCTCCCTGTAGCTCCAGCTGGCCTGGAACTCTCTATGCAGACCAGGCTGGCCTTGAACTCACAGAGATCCACCTGCCTCTGCCTCCAGAATGCTTAAAGGCATGCACCACCTCTCCTGGTTCAGAAAATATTTTTCTTAATAGTTCTGCATACTATGAATTTCAAGATAAAGGCAATGGCAGATTTAATGTCTGGTGAGGACCAGTTGCTAATAGACATCACCTTGTTGCTGTATGTTCACACTGTGGAAGGGATAAATAAGCATCTTTGGGCCTTATTTTTATAAGTGCACTCAGTCCTACTCATGAGATTCAAATAGAAGAGGCTCTAATCACCTCCCCCAAATCCTACATCTTAATTCCATCCACTTAGGGATTACAATTCAGTATATAAAGTATGAGGCAAAATAAGCATTCCTGTCATGGCACCTGGTAGGTAACTCTTTTCCTCCATAGGAACAGAGCACCAAAGAAATTTTGATGAAAACAAAATAAAACTAGACAGCAAGAAAATAGTTCCAAAGATGCAATGTTCTAAGTGAAAGCCAGTTAAATCAAAGTACGGAAGGTGCAGAGCAAGTAAAAAAAGTCATAAAACTTCTGAGATAAAAATTGACAGTGAAAGATAAGAGCAGGTGGGTAGAACATATTTTTGAATTAGATCATAATGGAATGAAACTAAAACTCAGTAACAGAATAAATCTTGGAAAACACACAAATATGGAGAAATTAAACAAATGTTCTTAAGCAACAAATAGATCACAGAAGAATTTTCTTTTAAAGAAACAAAAATGCTTAGGAAAGAAGAAAATGGAAGCTAGGCAGTATGGCATATGCGTGTCTACACTCCCAGCATCCAGACAGCTGATGTTAGCAAGTCCTCGTGAGTTCAAGCCCAGCCCAGACAAGCCTAGACTATATTGAAGACCCTGTTTCCAGAAAAAAATGAGGGAAAAGAAAATGGAAAACAACATACCAAAATCACGTAAAAAACAATCCTATTAGTGAATGAAAAACAGTAAACAGTTATAAAAAAGAAAACAAAGATCACGTATAAGTAAGGATTTAGAAAAATTAGAACCAACTCCATTCAAAGTTAGAAGAACAAAGATAAGAGCAGAAATAAATGAAATAGTCTCAAAAATAAAACAATAGAGAAAAGCAACCAAAGGATTACAAATTAAAGACATCACACAACTGATACCACCAAAAAACAAAGGATCAGAAGAGATTTCTATGAACAACTGTATGTTAACAAACTGGGTGATTGAGAAGAAAGTGATAAATTCCTAAAGACATAAAACACACCAAAATCAAATCTGAAATAAAAAATCTGAAAAGATCAGTAATGAATAAAAAGATTAACACCGTAATTTAAAAAATCTCCCACTTAAAAATAAAGACTAGTTGATGTCACTGTTGAATTTTACCAAACACTTAACAATTAACAGAAAATACTTCCAAATTCATTAGTGCTAGCATTATTCTTATACCACTATCAGACCAGAATACTACAAGAAATTTCCTGGACAGTGTTTCTGATGAGCACAGATGCAAATCCTAAACAAAATATTGGCAAAACCAAATTCAGGAACTCAGTAAAAGAATTATCCACCATAATTAGTGAGACTTGGCTACTATAGCCAAGGATATTTCAACATATGTAAATGAGATACACTACACCAACAAAATGAAGGATAAAATTTTAATGACCAGGTTAAGAGTGTAGGTCAGTGGTAGAGCACTTGCCTAGCATGACAAAGCCCGTGGTTCATTCCTTAGCAGGAAGAAAAAAAAATCATATGATCATCTAAATGGATGCAGAAAGTGCATTTGAAAACATTCAACACATTTTATGGCAAAACTGTCAACAGATGAGGTATAGAAAAAAATCTCATTAATGAGTGAAAGGGTTGAAAAGTTTTTCTATACGCTCAAGGACAAGACAAAGATCCCTACTCTTAACACTTCTTTTTGAGAAATTACTACAGGTCCTAGCCTGAGCAGTTACAAAGAAAAAGGAACAGACCAATGGGTAAAGAAAAACTGTCATTGGCTGATATTATCTTCTATGTAGGAAAGTAAAAAGAGCTTACTTTTAAAGAAACTCTTAGAATTGATCAATGGAAAGTTGTAGCAAACAAAATCAGTCAGTAGGGTTTCCATAAACTAAAAGTGAACTATTTGAAAAGGAAAAAGGAAATTAAGAAAAACTCCTACTTATAATACTAACATAATTCTAAATAATTATGTACAAATTTAACCAAGAAGGAAAAACACTATATACTAGCTACATTTTGTCTTGCTATGAAAAGACCCAAGAAAAGCACCATAAGGAAAAGTATATTGTAGCTCACAGTTTGAGAGTATAGCCTATTATGGCAGGGAATATCATTGTGGTCAGAGCAGCTATAGTTGGGGAGGCAGACATGTGAGGCACCTGGTTACATTTTGTCAGGAAGTAGAGAGCAATGAACGCTAGTGCTCAGCTCACTTTCTCTTTTTTATTTAGTACAGGATCACAGCCCATAGGAGGGGCTCATCCCCTTCCCATGGAGGGGTCTTCACTAATAAAAGAAAGTAAAATAAATGAAATGATATCTCATGTTGAAAGACTAGAAGAATTTGTGCTGCAAAAATGTATAAACTATTCAACATGATCTACACATTCAATGCTGCAATATCATTTTTCACAGAAATAGGAAAATATAATACTTATATGTGTATAGAACAAAAAATAAACAAACAGCCAGAGCAACCTTGAGCAAGAAGAATAAATTTGGAGGCATTGTGCTCTCTGAATTCAAAACATTACAAAGCAACTACAATAAAAACATGTTATGGTCATAGAGGCAGATATATTAATCAAGAGAAAAGAACATAACATCAAGAAATAAACCCATACATTTATGGTCAAATATTTTTTTAACAAAGGGATTAAGAGTAGACAGTGGGAAATAGATACCATCCTCAAAAAACAAAGAAAACTGGATATCCACAAGAAGAAGAATGAAATTATTCCTTTATGAACAACAACAACAAGTCCCCCAACAAGTCTTAAGGAACATCAAGGAAGAGGAGGCATAAAGTATATTTTGCACAGCAACATAAAAGATTAGCAGGTGAAAGGACAACCTACAGAATGGGAGAAAATATATGCATACTACACATCTGATAAAACATTAATAAACACCCAAAATACATAAGGAACGTACATAAGTCAAGCAAGCAAACAATCTGATTTTAAAATGTGCAAAGGAATCTGGAGATGGTTTTCAAAAGAAACCATACAAATAGCCAAGAGATTCTTGCAAAAATGATCAGTATATACTGATCATTTTGGGAATTGTACCAAAACCACAATAAGATACTGTCTCATATCTGTTAGAATAGTTTTCATAAAAAAACCTGACAGATAAATGTTACAGAGGATACAAAAAGGGACAACTCTTATACATTGTTGGTGAAAATGGAAATCAGTGCAGCCATTTTGAAAAACAGTAAGAAATTCTTTAAAAAACTAAAAATAGAAATACTTATTATACAGAGCTGTGGGTCTATATAGCTCAGTGGTAGAGTGCTTATCTAGAATTTATGAACTCATTGGCTCAATTCACAGCATTGTAAAAACAAAGGATACCTACATGTTTCCTATTGCTGGGTCTATGTTCAAAGGAACTAAAATCCATATATTGAAGGGATATCTGCCTTTTCATGTTCCTTGCAAAACTACTTACAATAGCCAAGAAATGTAAACAACTTAACTGTCCACCAATAGATAGATGAAGAAAATCTGGTACATAAACATGATGGGATATTTTTCAGTCTTAAAAAAGTAGTAAGGAAACCTGTCATTTACAACAACGGGGATAAGTCTGGAGTGCATGTTAAGTGAAATAAATTTTTCATAGAAGAATAAATACCACAGGATCTTAACTCATATATGA